ATATCCACAGATGATGTTAGGCAAGCTCTAACGAAATCCCCAAAAATGGAAATCCCCAGGAAATGACAAGTTGCACAATTTCTGGCTGTATCATTTCACATCTACCCATGAAATTCTTGCAAAAACATTATCAACGCTTGTAAATAATCCCAATAAAATCCTGGAATGGATTACTGAAGGTATTATACACCTCATACCAAAAACAACTGAAACAGACGACCCAAAAAATTATAGACCGATAACATGTCTCTCCACAACGTATAAGTTGATCACGTTTGTACTGACGAACCGTACTTATTCCTTTCTCGAAACAAACAACATTCTCCCGCTGGAACAGAAGGGATGCAGAAGAGGTTCATATGGCTGCAAAGATCAACTTCTGATAAATAAAATGATCCTGGAAAATTGTAGGAGACGACGAGGAATCTAAGTGCAGCGTGGATTGATTATCGTAAAAGCCTTTGATAGTGTTCCACATTCTTGGATCCTAAGACTTTTGAAATGTACAAAGTCTCCCCTGTGGTATTAAATTTCCTTAAGCACAGCATGGGAATGTGGAACACCAAACTATACCTTAGTCACACCGGGGGCACTGCCATATCCAACCGTCTGAATATCCGACGTGGAATCTGTCAAGGAGACTCTCTGTCACACCCCTTCTGTTTTGTTTATCCTTAATCCCTCTTATACATGAACTGAACAACAGTAGCTATGGTTACAAAATAAATAAGAAAATATTCAATCACCTACTCTACATGGATGATCTCAAACTCTTTGCCAAAGACGACAATGAGTTGAAAGGCCTCCTCAATATTGTAAAATACTTCAGTGACGACATAGGTATGGACTTCGGATTAGATAAATGTGCAAAAGTAACTTTCAAGAAAGGTAGAATTACAGAAACACCCTTAATAGATTTAGATTTTGTCACAAAGATTAGGGAACTGGAGCATGGTGAAGCTTATAAGTACCTAGGAATTAGCGAAGGAGATGGCATACAACACCCCCAAATGAAGGAAAAAATAAGAAAAGAGTACTACAGGCGTGTACGTCTGGTACTAAATACTGAGCTAAACTCAAAAAACAGGATATCAGCCATAAACACATTGGCTGTCCCTGTGGTGCAATACAGCTTACTGTCCTTAACTGGACCATAGCTGAAATTAAGCGTAGGGACGCCAAAACGAGAAAGCTTCTCACTTGCAATCACATGCATCATCCCAAAGCTGATGTCGATTGTCTGTATGTGCCCAGATCCAAAGGAGGAAGAGGATTAGTTCAACTAGAACTGTCCTACAAAGCTACAACAATTGGCCTCCAAAGATGATGGTATGCGTCAAGGAACATGAAAGTAGTAAGCGTCTTTACTCCGTAATGAAAGAAGCCAACAAATTCAAAATGGAGTTTCAAATGGGCGTAGAGATGCAACTACAGCACAATACACCGGCTGAAACTGCAAAATACCTAAAAAAGACAGCAAAGACGATGGCAAGATAAACCGCTTCATGGCCAATACTCTGCCCATACCAAACAAGCTGACGTAGACAAAACCCGTACCCATCAGTGGCTACGTAGTGCAGGGTTGAAAGCGGAAACTGAAGGTTTTATCCTTGCTGCAAGAGGACCAATGCTTGCTAACTAGGAATTATCAAGCACATATACTAAAACATTGTGTCAGCCCAAAATGCAGATTCTGTGATAAATATCCAGAAACGATTGATCATCTTGTATCAGGTTGTACGGTGTTGGCACCCACTGAATATAAAACCCGACATAACAGAGTGGGCCAATATCTGCACTGGAAAATCTGCAACTTCTACGGGAAGGAAACTGGAAGAAACTGGTATGAACACCACCCAGACCCGGTTACGGAGATAGGACCTGTTACAATTCTATGGGATTACACAATACACACTGACAGAACAATCAAGGCCAACTGGCCAGATATTGTTAATAAAGACCACAAACAAAAACGATGCCTCCTTATTGATATGGCAGTCCCTGCTGACTGCAATGTATCTTTGAAGATATTCAAAAAGTTGTCAAAGTACAAGGACCTTGAAATAGAAATTTCGAAAATGTGGCATATGGAAACATCAACAATCCCTGTTGTAGTTGGAGCCCTAGGACTGGTTGGAAAAGATTGCAGTAGACTAATTGAAGGGATTCCTGGAAGTCCATGCCTCAAGGAGATACAAAAATTGTTCTGACAAGTACAGCCCACACCTTACAAAGGGCTTTATCTATGTAATTTAATTTTTTTTTTCAGTGGAAAGTGTCATGACGCCATTTCTAACTTTTAGGTCCCTGGGCGGGACCGGAAAGAAATGTGTAAACGCCAGAAATCAAAGAAAATAAAAATAATAATAATAATAATAACAAAACCTAACAAAATCAGACACATAATTCTACCCACCAACTCCTTACCCGGATCTAAAATTCATCAATACCACCTTGAAGATAGTAAAAGTCAGTAATAGTCAACTTCAAATGGAACAGCAAGACAGAAGACAAGATAAATATCTAGAAAAAAAAAAAAAAAAAAAAAAAAAATGAAGACTATATATGCATCACAGGGATCTGTTGTATAACAACACTTTAAATGTACTAGTAGTTCACTGTAACATCTGAACACAGTTTTGACCTAATAAATACCAGTCTGATTACAAGAGAAAAAATTCATGAAGAAAATGCATTGAAAGTGCACAAATTTCACAATTCTCCATAGTCAACCTCAGAATGGGCTCATGCACAATATCACCAATTATTGCAAAAGCAACAATGCAATATATCAACTGATACAGAAAAAAAAAATTATATATACATACATAGATACACACACACACACACACACACACCTACTTGGAGTTGGATAATTTCAAATTCAGCAAATGTTATCTGCTTCAATACAGACAAAAATATACTTTCTGGCCACAGCATCTGATTATTTTATTTATTAACCCATCATTAAAATTTCTAACACGCTTTCCTTGCACACACAGTTTGTCTCATTCTGACCTAAGGACACCTAGCAGAAAGATGAAACGCATTGTCTGTAAAAGCTTTTCCACTTTGTCTCATTATTTCTACTTCAGTTCGAGTACTATTCTACAATTTTACATCCTACTAACATCTATAGTGCTATGCAAAAGTAAGTGAACCCCTAATATTAAAAATCTGTCACTTTTCTTACCCAGATAATGAAAATATAGTTTAAAAATTGTTGATTAAGATAAACCTTTATTAAAACAAATTACAACCACTTTCAAAAATTGTTATCAAGCTGGAATAAAAAATATTAATTCAAAATTAAAATGTGCAAAAGTAGTGAACCCTTACATTTAATATTTGGTGACGACTCCTTTTGAGCTCACTACATCAACCAGTCTTTTTCTATAATTTTTTTAAGCTTCAATTTTTGACCATTCTTTTTGGCAAAACTCCCTCAATTGCTTCATATTACCTGGGCTTCTTGCATATACTACCTTCTTTAACTTGAACCACAGAATTTCAGTTGGATTTAGATCAGGTCTTTGACTAGACCATTTTCCAAGACTTGAAATTTCTTTTTTGGAACCCATTCTGTTGTGAATTTGTTTTGATGCTTTGGATCGTTGTCCTCTTGGAAGATCTAGCTGTGACCTAAACCCAACTTTCAAACTGAGGACAACAAACTTTCATTCAAAATTGCTTGGTATCCTGAAGTCTATTGTGCCATCAATGCATACTATTTTGCCTGTTCCAGTTGCAGCAAAGCACTTCCAAATCATAATGCTGCTAGCACTATGTTTAATTGTTGGCAACAAATTTTTCTCTTCAAAAATCATATTAGGAACTTGCCAGACATACCGCCTATCATTCTTCTCAAAAAGCATTATTTTGGTTTCATCTGATCATAAAACCTCTTGCCTCTTATTAATATGAGCTTTGGTATGGCTGAGCCAAACTTGTTTGTGCTTTTTCGTAATCAGTAATTTTTTTTCTATGCATCCTTCCATGAAGACCAGCATCATTTAGATTTCATCACATTGTAGATGTATGTGCATCGATTCCAACATTGGCCAGGGAGATTTAGAGAATCACAGAGTTCACCACAACATTCACCTAAGCTCACCAAACTAGATGCCTACTTGCCCTTGTAGTTTCTTTGTTTTGTTTTTTTAAATTTAGTCTCTAATTTCACTCTCTTGCATACACAATGAGTTATATTGGTTGACTGAAGTATACACAGCTTACATAAAAAAATGAACACGTATCATTTTGATTTTTTCATGTGCACAAAAAATTATTTGCACTGGCAATCATGTAAAACAAAAATTCAGTGTGTAAATGTAAGGGTTAACTTACTTTTGCACAATTTTTAATTAATATTTTTATTCCAGCTTGATAAAAATTTTTTTAAAGTAGTTGCAATTCATTTAATAAAGGTGAATATATTGTTTAATTAAGATTTGTTGATTATCTGGGGGGAAAAAAATTTTAACATTATCTTAGGAGTTCATTTACTTTTGTGCAGTACTGTATATATCATATCTGGCTCAAAATAAAAATGTTAACATTTTAAAAATTGATTATAGCAGAGACATTTTAAAATCCACGTTTCTGTAAAAAAACTAAGTAAAATTGAATTTTAAATTGATCAGGAAAAATACAAGATCTGTTATTTCTTTTTTTTTTTCAGTTTTCTTTTAGTGAACCTTAAGACAAAATACAATAAACGTTGAGATATCATTTAAGAACTCTGATGAAAAATAGTGACGATATGAAACAGGTTACAGCAGGCAAAAAAACAAAGTTTGTAATCTTTTCTTGCAGGTAACCATTTTTAAGCTGCATATCAGTCTGTGTATGTGTCTTGTGAGTTATATATATATATATATATATATATATATATAAAAAAAATTAAAAATAAATTTTACATTTTTTTTTTCTGCGGAGAAGGAAAAAAAAATTTTTTTTTTTTTTTTTTTAAGGCTGCCTTAACTAGGCAGTGGTTGGGATCAGCTAATCATTTGTGATACAAGTTCATTCAATTGAAAGCTGCCATCTAGTGTCAGGGACATGAACCGTTCGGCTGCCTTGGCACTGAGTGTGCGAAGGGCAGGCAAGCGGAGCAGCATTTTGCCATAGCGCTGGAGATCATTGGGGAATTTATGGGCAACATAACGACGAAGAGAGTCCAAGATTCGAGTCTGCATGTTAGCAACCTTCTGTTTGTCTTGAACACCTGATGCATCTGGAAAATAAACACACAGAAATAAATGAGAAAAAAAAAAAAAAAAAGCTTTCATTAAAAAACAACAAGCAAAGATTATTTAAACTTTTTAGTTAACATTTTTTATTTATGTACAATGATAACCAAACTAAAATGTATGAAGTAAAATCTTCATAGCAGCCATCAACTGAATAAACAAAAATAAAATAGGTAAATAAATGATAATTTTTGGTATCAAGTAACTCTTGGCTGGAAATTAGAAAGTTCTGTCCACAAGTATATATAAACAGTCAGTTAAAATTGAAGGTAGTACTAATGTTGACCATGAGAATCGGTCACAGAGAGAGAGAGAGAGAGAGAGGGAAAATTGCTGTACATTGTAGAAATGAGCAGAGGGACTGGGAAAAATTGATCTGCTAGTCTGTCATGGCAGACGTAACAGAAGATGCCCAAAGACCTCCTTTTCAGACTATGCAAGAAAATTCCCTTAATAAATCAAATATAATGGAAATAGGATTTCACATTTTCATTTCTCAACATGGAGATGTTTTTTACTTTGTTTCCTTGCACACATACAATAAGCCTTTCTCAGTTTTTGCACACACTGATTAGAATCAAGACAGCCTGTGGTAAGTTATTCAGCTATGAAAAATTAAGAGAGTGGTCTCATTGCATATTTACATTTTATGGTAACCTGGAAAGAATGCAGCTGGTTAAGAGTCTTCATTGGATAAATGTATCATCAGCTGTTAAATACACTTAAAACTTCTTATTTTCAGATTTTCTTTATTAGAATGTCTTAGCCTATTCCATTAGCCACACCATCAAAACTCATTTGTTCAAACCTCATCCACCTTAATATCGACTACCCATGTACATATAAAAATAGTGATTACTAAAAATTAGATCAATAGGGCAAAAATTATCTCCTCTTTCCAGAAATGATTCTGCAAGCATCAAACATTCATAAAGAACAGATTTCTTTATGATCTCATCAACAGATTAACTCCACAACAGCAACACAGAAAGTAATCTGTCAGGTTTAACAACTTCTGCTGCCACAAGAGTATTCATGCAATGTAAATAGCTTCAGCTGGAATATAAACAGTTTGCGATTTACTTTTGTCAAGAAGATAATTACACCAAATATGTATAATGTAAATGTGTATACACACAAAGTATGGCTAGTGTGTAAAGTAATTTCGAAGATTAGTGGAAATAAAAAATTTAATCTAAAGAGATATTTTCCTATGGGGGATAATTAATAAGTTTGAAAGAGTTATCTCCCTTGTAAGAAGATAATATGAATCCTCTGCAAATGCAACTTGGCAAATGAAAAGGTAAGGACATGATAAGCTGACAGGTGTTACTGGAAACGTCCTGAGTCAAAGTGCAGAGAATTGTTTTGAAAACCTTTTAATATCAGATGAATTTTGAAGATCATGGTTAAAACCAAACTGGAAGGTTTAATTTAAAGATCACTGTCATTCATGCTATCACTGCTGATATTTAGTAACTATCAATTTTTTTATCTTAATTTTTTGCTGGCAATTCACTAGGCAGCATTTGATAGGCCATTGAAAAAAAAACAACAAAAAAAAAAAAACATTAGGTAGTCATTGACCAATCAAAGAAGCCTGAATAAGGTTCTCACTCCTATGAAAATGGTGCTGGGCAAAGGATCAAGGGGAACTGTCAAACTCACTGCTATACAAACTGTGCATGTGTGTCAACCTCAATCAACCAAAATCCTGAAACCATTTTTACCTGATATAGTTCAATATGATCACCTGTCAACCTTATCCTCTTAACTGCTCATTTCCAGTTTGGAATTTTTTTATTTTTTTGTATGTTGTACACATGATTTGTACTTGTATTGCAATGAACCCCATTGTTACCTAGTGCTTCATTTTAAAAGTCGCCAACAATCACTGGTAACCATTGCATACAACTGGACAGGACAAGTTAAATAAGATTTGGACCAAGAACCTCTACATCACTTCATCTGACTCCCCCATCAAGTTTGTGTTAGTGATAACTCTGTTAATGTTCCTTTCTACAGATCTTTCAACAAAATATGGGCATAGTAAGCACTAACAGAGCTACATCTTGAAAATCCCCAAGTTTCTTTGTCACAGGTGTTGAAATGCTATTGATCCAATTAAGAGCAAAAAATATGATGCTTGGTCAGAGTGAAGAGCTGAGAATTTTTCAACATCCCACACACACCAGAGAATGGAACAATAAATCCAAAATCTGACAACTGAATTTTGATCTGAAGTTTTTTTTCAATGTAATAAATGAAGAAATATTAGGCTAGATGCAGTGACAAAGAAGGAGACTATGTTAAAAATATATTTTTCATCATTAGACTAAGAAGTATATAAATTAAATATAAATGTATTTGGTCAGATTTGGGGAAATGGATCAACTTGAGAACTTAAAATCATTAAATTCAATGAATCTAGACTCGAGAATAATTTTGGTTTTGTTATACAAAAATTTTCCCAAAGACCGAGAATCTTCAGGATGCTTTTCTATTATTGTCACGACTTTTGTACTGAATTTATTTTTTAAGGCTTGTGTATTTCAAACAAAAGAATTCTTGTTCCTGTTCAATTACATTTTTGTAGTGTAACTAAGAATTATCTGCCAGCAAGATTTGATAACATTCACGGATTCTGAGAGAAAACCTGCTGCCTAAAAATACAATGTAGATTTATATTTTGCTGCATTTTCTCTCACAGAAATGGTTTATGATGGACCAGGGAATTTTAATGATATAAAAATTGTATTGCTGCCATATGTGGGCTGGAGCTGCCCAATCCTCACTTTACAGCCTTGACACAGTCCAAAGGCATTTACACAGCCTTGTGAGTAATGAATTATTTTCCACCTTGCAACCTCTTTTGCACAGACAAAACCTTCTTGCTATCACTATTTTCACAGCAGGTGTTTAGATGAGCTACATCACTTAGTTCTATTAGACTAGACCAGTGCTTCTCAACCTTTGTCAGCACATGGACAATATTTTCTTCAAAAAAACTCAAATGGACCACTCCTACTTTTTAGGCTGTTCAATTTTCACACTAAAATACTCAATGAAAAGACAAAGTACTCTATTTACATTTTAAAATTTATTTTCATAAACAAGGATAAACACAGGATATCAAAATCAAATTTTGATGATGTCATTCAATTTTAATCCATTCAGCTAGTGACTACCTTGATCTTGGTGTTCCTGACACAATTTGATAAAAATAAAATAAATATAGTACTGCATAATACCTACTTAATTTCAAAATCTTGAAAAATAATGAACATGGGAGCGGGTGAACAAAATATATTTTTTAATTCTTCAAAGTATGAATAATTTAGATACATTTTTGTGAAATGGCTATAATTTCTTTTATGGCTACAAATTCTCAGTGGACCACTAGAAATGCTATGTGGACCACGTTGAGAAACACTGGTCTAGACTTTCACTATGCTAGATATACCGTCAACTCAATCTCATTTTCTTTGTATTTCATTGGTTAAGATAACCATCACATTGTGAAACAGACTCCCAAAAGAATGCTTCTCCAATCGCTACAATCTTAACTTCTTATAGTATAGATTGTTTTTGTTTTTTTATAGCTTATCAACCTTTTGCAGGTTATTTCAAGCCAGAAAATATTTTTTTTAGATTGTAAGAATTTTTTGGAGATAATGATAGAAGTCCTACTAATTAACCCATAGCTGGGAGTAAGAGGAAGTGGATTCATAGCTTTCCCAAGGGTATTTGCATGTAACTGACTATAATGAACCTGATTGGAATTGGAACTCATCTCTGATTTCCAATTGCAAGCCATTATCCATTACACCAACTGCACATCCAAGCTTACAGCACCTGGTATTCCCATGCAAATACTGGCCAGGTTTGACATTGCTTAGCATACAAGAACCAGTGTTTCAACACAATATAGACGTAAACACTTTAAAATATGGAGTCAACCTTATCTATCCTACATATCCTTAGAATATGAATCTTCCTTCTTGTATGCCTTCACAACAACTTTATTTAGTAACCCTATACCTAGAGTGACTCTTGGCCCTTATATTGGGTGAACACTACTATTAAAAATCTTTTTTTTTTTTCTCCTTTAATCACAAAGTCCCTCTCACTAAATTCAAACAGCATACTATTTGTCAAGGGAACTTGACAAACCATTCTGCCCTCATGAACATTTTTTTTTTGCTTTTAGTAGAGTGGGTAATTATATGTTGAACTTATAGTGGTGACTCATGTGAAACACATACAAGAGAAGAAACAGACCCATGTGGAAGATGAGAAAAAGACAATTGAAACAAGAGGAAATACAGAGAAGAGAGGGTATTCAGTACACATGTACTCATATGATTAGCAGTACTCAAGATGTATCTACTTCTCTCATGACTTACCTGGATATGTGAGCACAAGAGCATTGAGGATACAAAATTCGGAATGGTCAAGGCGAATACTTTGGAGCCGGAGAGAAAACTCAAGCGAGGCATTGATCAATTCATTGCCCCAACCTATGTTGGTGGCATAGTTTATAGGCACCAGCAATCCTTCAGCAAACTTTATCACATTTTTAAGGCCCATTGATCTAGTTAAAAAAAAAAAAAAAAAAAAAAATGTCATGGTAAAGCAAAAATAAAATCAAAGGTTTTCTTTTCAAATAAAACCAAATAATTTATATACAAGATTGGATCACATTCAGCTAAAATTTGATCTGAAATATTTATGGTATATATTTAATCCATGTAATTAAGAGAGAAGCCTTGGTTTTAGGAGCATTCACAAAAAAATTTATATTCAAAAATAAATATTCATTATATAAATTAAATGTTTTTTCATTAGATTACAGACTTATTAATACATCTAGACAATAGCAAAGTTACATTGTTCTGCACTTAAAACTTGAATTTAGAATCATAATTATCTTCAAACAGGTTTTTATTTTTTCCAGTTGGTTTCTTAAAACTCAGTTGTCATTTCAAGTTGGGAGATGTATCATTGAAAATCATAATCTGGATTTTGAATGTCATGATTTTCCAGATTCTTTGTTATCTTGGAATTACCATGTGTTCCATAATTTGGAGTTTTTCTTATCTTAGACTGGTTGCCACCCAAGACTAGAAAATCCAGTCTACTTTGCCATTTAACCCATAACAGGAGAATAGATTCATGCCAAGGACATTTGTACAAAAGTGAATGTAATGGACCATCTCTGAATTTGAACTCAGCTCACAGATTCCACTTTTTATGCCAATATCTATTACACAACCCACATTTACTTGAAATATATAGTGTGTATGCAATAATAATTAAAAAAAAGATTTATTTATCTGTTGAGCTTTCAAGTTTAGTGTATTTTAACCTAGATCTTTTGGAGAGAAAAAAAAAACTATATTGTGAAAGACATTCCTCTTTTGCCCCTTTTCTGCTTTCACACATGGTATTCAACTGGGGGGGGGGACACACACACAACATGCATAAATACTGGTTTCAGAAAGTATATTCTAACCAGGTCAAAAGTTTAGCCCACAGCTGAATGATAATTTAACATGTTAACTGTCAGAGGTCAATGATGAAATCCAACTTTAAACGCCAACTTTATAATAGCCAAGTAATAAAAAATTTTTATGAGCATCAACTCATAAATTTTTTTTTTATTACTTATAGCTTCAACTGAAGTCTTAAGGTTGTTTTCAAACTAAAAGTATCACTGCAAATAAAAAAAATCATTGGCTCGAGATGGCTTGTAGTTGGCGTCATAATAAAAACTGATAACTATGAGTTATCTTGTGGTCAGCAATCAATATGTTAAGTTTTACATTTTGCAAGGAGGAAAAACAAGCAACATAAATTAGCTTATAATTCCATATAGGGACATTTTTTTTTTCAGAAAAATTTAGTTTCCTTTCACCATCAAGACAAATGAAACTACTCATTTGGTCTACCACAGAAAAATAAACAATACAAGGAGTCAGAACTCTCCCCACATTTCTGTCCTCATCTAATAATGACACTTGATTGATCCTGCTAGTAGTCATGTGCTTGTCTGAAAGCTGAAGTTATGCAAGTTTAAAATTACACTAGGCATAGGGCCAAAAGAACAAAGGGCTCCGGAACCAGACCTAAGCCTCAAGACCATAATCCTCCTCAGAAACAATGCATAACTGTAGCAACTCAGTATGTCACCATCATAGTCTTGTTTTGAACAGGTATTGACCATTCCAGTTTACAGCACTATATATTAGATTGATTGATTTATTCATTTTTGAGAACTTATCAACCATTTGCAGCTTATTTAAAGCCAGAAAATATTTTTACATTGTAAGAGTTATTTTGTAGGAGTGGGGGGATAATGATTTAGTGACATGAGTCTTACTAATTAACTCCTAGCTGGGGGGAGACAAGTTGGATTCATACCTTTCCCAAGGCTATTTGCATCTGTTAATATAACAAAACCAATTGGAACTCAGCTCTCCAATTAACAATTCGAAGCCATTATCTATTACACTACTTGCACATCCAAGCTTACAACACCTGGTATTTCTAAGCAGTCACGTATCTATATAATGACCAGGTGTTTCAATGTGATGTGGCCATAAGCCTAAACATTTGATTGAAATGCATTCTGTCCTCTCATTCTCCTCTTTGCTGCTTGTGGTGCTTTGCGTTGCCAAAGGCAGTGATGAGATTAAAGGGTGGCACGCCCTACTTTAATGACCCAGGACAACTCCCCCACCCCCGGGCCAGGTCAATTATACTAGCTTTTATACCTGACAATGAGCCTCATGAAAATCTGCCCCATGAACTGTCAATGGTCATATAATTGCCTACAGTGGTTGGATAAAATTACTCTCATAAAACATGACTCTGAAAAGTCAATCAAAAAAAGATTTTGCCCAAGAACAGACAATCATCTTCATTTGCATTCAAAACAAAATGCAATATACCTACCTGTATGATAACCGAAGAACACTTAATTCCATGAATGAAGATTTCAACAATGAAGTCTGGTCAATAACACACAAATCTTGAAACCCTGCCAAACAAACAAGAAAACACAAAGTCACTTATAAAATTATACAAGGTCTGCCTGAAAGATAACCAGCCAAATTGAAAACAGAGCACAGGTTGTGTGGCCTTGATGTCAGTTGATAACCAACCAGAGGGAACCTTACTGCACATGGATGAACACTCTCCAATATAGGGTCAGTGAGAGTGAGTTTGTGTACTGTGTGGCTGTTGCTTTCACAATGACTTAACAGCTTCTTCACATCTCGTGAAGAGTTTATTTTGGCAAAACCTTGCATCGCCCAAGGTTTGTCAACTACTCTACTGTCCAAATTTGCCTTGTAGCTCATTTCAAAACTAAAAATACCATAAACTAGATTGAGGTAAATGTAATGAGACAGCTGATAGAAATCCTGAGTGACAACTTTGCAGACTGTTGAAAAATGGAAGGAACACAAGAATAAGCATGAGAGGCTCCAAGAGACTAAGGCACCATTGCCCTAGGAAGGTTACTTTTGTTTAATATTAAAAATAACCAGATACTTCCAACAATTGTTTAACTGTGGAATGTTTTCTGCATTTCTCATGTGATTTTTTATCTAAAATTATCTCTTTACTTGCACATTTTATATTAGGTGGTGGACAAGTTTGTTTGTTGCTTTATTTTATTTGGTTTTTATTTCCATTCGAGTTGTCTTTATTGTGTAAAAATTTTCAAAGTCATTTTATCTTTCTGTATAGTGCCTGGAAACAAATTGTAGTGATAGAAATTTCAATTAAAACCAACTTCCTATTTATGTTTTTTATTGATGTATTGTAGATATTGACTGTGCCTTGCACAAGGGCATATTAGTGAAAGCCCCAGAGAATATTAAACAAACTGCAAAAATGACCTGTCTACAACTAGCTTGGTATACACTGCATCATTGCAACTTCAACCCACCCTATTCCTATAGGTATTTACTAAATGGCGCACAAGAACTTAATGAGGAAAGAAAAATTCTTATTGGTAACAATTACAAAATCAAGAAAAAAAAATAAAAACATAATGAAAAACATTGCAAATTTTATTTTAAAACATTTTTATATATATATATATATATATATATATATATATATATATATATATAGAGAGAGAGAGAGAGATTTATGCACATAAATACATACAGAGCTCATGTTGAAACTGTGCACATGTGGCCCAATTGCAAATAAAACTAATAGATTATCAATGTTGAACTTTACTTTTGAGTAGAGAAACTTTCTCTTAAGAAGAGGAGTGTACAGCATAATAGCCACCTCTTACTTGACAGCAATTATTTAGGTAAACTGCTTGAACAGTTTTCACACTTCAGTTGCTAAATAAAGTTAGTGAGGAATCTGAACAACAATTATAGATTTAGCTCATTGTTAATTTAAAATGTGCATTTTACATTTAAGTGTTAATCAGAATGTTCAACAATTTATCTTAAAGTACAAAACCAACTTTATTTTGTATTACAACCTGACAAAAGTGTCCCACCCAAAAGATTTTTACATCCACATCTCATTATACAAATGCCCAAATATGACATTTGTGATCAAAAGCCAATAATGAGAGTAAACGCAGTTCTTGAGGATCTAAAATTCCAAGCAGCACCTCTCCATTGTACTAATGGAGTAAGGCTAAAGGTACAGACTGATGGCTGCAGCAAAATGTTGGGAGAACATGACTATTTTTGTTGCTACCCACTGGCAAAAGCATGATGACTGGGGCGTCTACATTAAAGCAGCCATTGACAAGTATGCAAATAAATACAACCTACATGTTAGAATAAATGACTACATGATTCTTAGTTACATGTTCATGATGGAATCATTCAAAGACAAGAAATAGCATACTAGACAAAAGTAGTAGTTGCTCAGCCTAGGTCTTATATAACCTAAAGACATTATAATACCAATTAACATTCTCCTGAAGAAGACCTAGAGAATTGTGAAAAACAATGACAAAAATAAGGATAAAATAATAATTTAATGAATTTAATAGTGTTGAAAGTTTTACATAATATGCCCACAAAATCAGAGGACAAATGTATTGCAAAGAAAAGAAATCTCAGCTGAGAAATACCTACCAGGCACCTTCTTGGCCCAATCAATGATGTACTTCAATTCCAAATAGCTACACTGTAATAATTCATTTCCTGTAAGGTTATTTAGAATCACAGTACTACTGAAGATTTCTGAAAGTTGAAAATAAATAAACTATTTTAAAACTAGAACAAATAGTTGAATTGAAGATGCAAGCTGATCTCAGCTACACATCATGTAAACTTCAATATACAAATTAACCTTTGACATTTTGCATTATTCATAAGTATTCCTTTCCCGCTGAAATCTTTAGTCAAGAGCAACAAGGTTTTCAATTTCAGTCAAGGTTATTTTGGCTGTTGCCCTAACAGGATATGACAACACAATAGAGAAACTCAAACACATTATCATTCAAGGACATGGATCACCAGCAATGTCAGGATAAACTTTTTGTTTGGCAAACAAAAACGCCTGCAGGGACAAAATCTCAAAATTCAACAGATAACCTGCTTTTATAACAGAAAATAATTTTTTTTTTTTTTAAAGCAAATGAAACATTGGATTTTTGTAAATATTTCCAGCTTTTTTTTTTTTTTTTTTTTTAAAAAACAGGCCAACTTTTTGTCACATAGCCAGATTTTTAGGGCATTTTTGTTTTACATGCTCATCACAATAGTCAACATGTAAATAATGATAACTATAATAATATGATAATGGAATTTCTGAGGCATTGAAGAACTTTCAAACATTTTGTTTTAATCTAGCTCACTAAGCAAAACACCACCAAATATATTCCTTGAAAATTGGCCGACTACATTACTGATTATTCAGAGTAGCAGAATTTATAGCATGAAGATAACAAAGCACTAAAATGTGGAAAATAAACAATCCAATTAAAATTTAATTAAAAAAAGAAAACAAAAAACAACCTTCTGATACATCGATTTTGATATGATCTGTATTAATGCCAATGTACCAGAAGTTTATTTTCTTCACCAAAAAATAAAAATCAAACAATTAGTATTTACAATTGTACATCATCCATAACTGACTTCAACTAAGAGATAAAAGATTGCCAATAAAGAATTATGTAAATGTTTGACTAATTTCTGAATATGAAAGAGGAAATATAATTACCCCCTCCCTCCCCCCAACACACACACAAAAAATAAATAAATAATGTACAAGTTTTGCTAAATTTGCAGATTAAACCCTGGAAACCAATTGTCCATTATGGTGAGAAATTGCCTGATTAATTCTAAAATAACAATAAAAATTTGTGGAAGAAAATCTTATAGGAGTTAACAATATAAATTCAGCCTTATTCGTGTCTAGCCCAGCTACCATTACTGGCATCGTTTACATACGTTTACCTAGAGTAGCAATGTACAGAAGCTTACTTAGTTAACAGCCTTTTTACTGATCTTCTTACTCATCTTGATTACTGTGCAATTTGCAAAATTTAATTTAAAGTTCATGCCTTGTGCACTAATCAAGACAAGTAAAGTTTCTGCACATTACTACTCTAAGCAAATGTATGTAAACAAAGACAGTAATGACGGCCATGCTGTAACCGCAACGCAAATGAAGCCGAACTTATATTGTCAATGGTTTTCTTTTGCAAACTTTTGTTATTTTTAAAATAAGCATGCAAATTTACAACAGAATGGAAATTTTCATTACAATTGGTTCCCAGGACTTAATCTGCAAATTTACCAAAGTTTTTTTTTTTTTTTGTTAAGCTGAATATTATAAAGCATTTTTGGATAAAAAAAAAAAAAAACCATCAGAGTAACATCTGCTGAAAAATGAAATCTTCATGAATTTAAAATAAAAATAATTTAGAATCATGCTTCAAAGTTAAAACTCCTCTTTGGAAAAAAATACCACATCTTACTTTGCTTGTGAATGTTTTTTGTATTATTATTGAGACACATTAGCTATGAAATTAAAATAACCTTTTAAAAGGATTTCTCAATATCAAAGACACTATTTCCCCACTGACAAAATAAGACTTTAAAACTTAACCAATGTCATACAGGTCAAAGATCAGATTGCCAACTAGATCAACTTATGCTTGATGAGTTTCCTTGTCGATGCAAAAGTTTCCAGCACCATCTTTAGTGCAATCTTGGAGAAATTTTAATTGTCTCTAAAAGTTCACTCAGTTCTTTGTGCAATCATTCAATTGCAGGCACAGTTTCCAAGCTTTAGGAAAAACATTCAGAAGCTAAGAAAATTAGTTCCACATGACCTGATAGAAATGAACATCAACCAGCTTTTAACATTTATCTTTCTTTTCTGGTTTAACAAAAACAAAAATGGTCATTTTTGAACAAGACAGGGACTTATAATGAAAAGTGAATTCATGACAAAAATCCATGACAAAGAAAATCCTGTCTAGATACATCACAACCTAAACATATTCGAGTAGGACTGCTTTCTGTATGTGGTGGCATTCAGAAGAAATTCTGCATTAATGAATTGATTGAACGTGGACAAACCATTACTGTGCAATGCTATAGTGAACAATTGGTTTTTCTGAATAATATATTGGAGGAAAAAGTTTCTCCTGGGCAAGGAAGTCAACCAGTGATTTTGCTGCACAGGATAGCAAAATATCACAATATTAGATTCACTAAACAACTTGGGAGAAGATTGTTTTGATGCTGCCTATTATAAATGGCATATCAAACCACTCTCTCCCAATTACCACCAAAGCAGTGATACCTGAAAGAAGTTCTTACACCCATTGTCAACCTTTACAGAGATCAGCCTAGCATAAAGGCATATGGGTTTAGGGTTTGTATTGTTAACACCTGAAAAGAACTTAACCTTCTGCTTTTGGGATCCTGTCTGGTGCTGCACTCACAAGCCCATCCAGCAAACTATCTGTTGTTTGAGCACCTGGTCCACAAGGAATTGTCCCATCGGAACTAATGTTGAATTCCTCAACTCTCCGTCTTTTGTGCCTGTGTTTGCCTCCAGGTGTGCGATCTTCTCTAACAGCTGCAAAGGAATAGGTGAGATAAAATGAAACTAATATATATTTCAAAGAAGATGTGTGTTTTGAAAGTCATTCAACATTCAAATGATAAAAACCTTCCTTAAAACAAAGAATGAAACATTTGTAACAAATATTAAAGTATTAACAAAATTGACTAAAATTTCCTTGATTCCAAGATCAAGATATTAACAACAATACTTGAGTAATCATTTCGGATACAAGATTTTAACCCAAACAACAATTTTCTGAATTTCAACCAATTTTTTTTTTTTTATTTTATTTAAAAATAATATGAATATAACATGTATATAAAAAAAAAAAAAAAAAAAAAAAAAAATTTATATATATATAAAAAAATGTAAAAACACATCTGGTGTAATCCAAGGAATTAATGGTATGGGCGTGATATAAATTATCTTAATTGATATGACTGGTTATGGCATGAAACTTACACTCATTGAATAGTATACAGAAGATTAAACAATTTTATATATATATATATATATATATATATATATAAAAATAAAGATATTGCACATTGAGTGCTGGTGTTAATAGAATAGTGCTCAATGTAATCTAACAATGCTATTAGGTATATATTAATAAATATACATGTTATTCCTCACCAGTAGCATTTAAAATTTAAAAGATATCTATATCTAATATCTAATTTATTAAAATTTAAATTATGTAACAATCAGTCTCTTATCAGCACCTAAAGATTGCAGTGTGTATGAAACTCCAACTTGTGATACTGGTAAGGAATAATATATATGCTCGTGTATCATGCAATTTTTGAAGAGCTGATTTTGAAGCTAATTTTAAATGGGGTTGCATCATGCACAAGATATAAAATTAACATATGTACTGCTGGCTCTAGCTACATATCTATTTACTGTAGTCAAAATGTATGGCTGTACTTAAACAGAATTTTGATAAAACTGATGTTTTACTTAATTGTATCAAATAATAATGCATGTAATATTCATATATTAGTATCATATTATAAAATACAAACATAGCGAATATGCATCTTTTCCATTGTTTACAGTTTACACTTATAAGATGTTTAGCTGTTTCTCGTTCAGTTGTTATGACTGCATTTACACAATGACTATATCATTACTAACAATACTTTTATCATTCTCTTTTACTTTTTCAAGTTATTTAACTATAAGATGGGATAAAAGGATAGAGGAAAAGAGGTTAGTCTGTTGTAATTTGAAGGAACATGCATGATACATGAGAAAATCATTTTTATAAGTGAAAACTTTTTGGGTCACATGATTTGCGAGATCATGCTTTACACGTATACATAATTATATATATATATATATATATATATATATATATATATATATATATATATATATATATATAAAATAAAATCAATATTCATGTTTCTAGTGTTTATATTTATATTTATTTTTTTTTTTTTAATATAATCTTTCTTGGCTTGGCCTAATAGATTTTTTCAGTGATATAAATAAATAAGTAAATATCCAAGCTGAAAGGGAGGAGGTAAGGGTTGTTTGTTTGTTTGTTTTTTTTTTAAATAAAAAAAAAACAAAAAAAAAATAGATCTACATTGTTTCTTAATAAAAATATTAGTAAAGATTCTGACACTAAATAGGATTGTGTAGGTCAACAGTGGCAAGCATTATTTTCTGAAATTTACTTCTAATTAATCCAGTAAATCGTAACATTGGCCAACTCCCAATAGTATTGCTTGTAAACTATCATTCAGTAAAAGAAGCTTTGAGCAGACCTACAAAAAACAATACATTTACAAAATAGGTATTTGTATCATTAACTACACCAGAAAACTTCTGACAATAACTGTACTTATATTTTAATTTTGTAAATTTCAAAGATTTAAAGAAATAAACATTTGTAGCTATAAAAAGTAAAAAATAAAATTGAAAAAAATTTAATTTGCACAATAAGACATTTGAACAAAATTAGTTACATGTTGAGCTAACTAGTTTTACTATTATAGACTAGGATATATGTAATGCTAATTTCTATAGCAATGACAAGTTTAGGTGTTTATTTAGTATAAAATAAATATTGCTATCACTAGGAGAAAATTAAAAAAGAATTTAAAATAAATCAACATGGATTTTTAAAAAAATTTTTTTTTAGAGACAGTGTCCTTTACATTTTTTAAGAAATACAAATATTAAAAAAAATAGTAAGTTCTATCGCAGAAAGCTTTACAAGTGTAAATGAGTTGGATTCTCATTGGGTGCCTTAACACTTAGTAAATATCAATAATACAAGTATAAAGCATGTGAAAGGGAAAAAAAAATACCATTTAAAAATTTTTAATAAACCTTTCTCAGGCATTCAGATCTAAGAGGAATAAAAATAGCAATCAATGTTCAAAAATTTAGTTTTGCTTTTAAAAAGCTATGAAATCAGAGAAAAGAAAATAAATGATAAAATGGCACTACATGGGTCAGATGGCAACATTTTGTACAGTAATGTTGACAAAATAAAATTAGAGTAAGCAACAATATAAGTTACTTCAATTGCCACTTTGAAGAACAGTCTTCCGAGAGAATGCTTTCCCAACAACTACAATCTTAACCTCTTCAACTGAGCATTAACCATTATCTTTCCCACATATCCTCATAAACTGAACTTCTTACCTTCTACTCTTACTGCTCAAATAACAACCTCCTTCAGTAACCTTCTACCTTGAGTGGCTCTTGGGCCTTGTATTGGGTGATCATTAATAAAAAAAAAAAAAAAATTCATCTGCATATTCACTTTATAGTCAGCAACATTAAAAAAAAAAAAAAAAAAAAAAAAAAGAAAAGAAAAGAAAAAAGTCACCGTCAATTTCTGAATTGGTCTTTTTTTCATGCAAGTTAATTTTAGAAATCTGTTATATAACACCTCAATAATTACATAAATTATATAGTACTAAACCTCAATTCCTTTTATATTCTCTTTGTCATTAAAAAAATGATATTTAAAAAAGGATAGTTCTGGGTATGATGATAAAGTACATCTGGCAACAAGGCCTCTGATTGGGAGATTGGATGTTTTTGAGGAGTGTCAAGCCATCATTTAATTGCTGTTGTTCCCAGGTCCACCCTGAACTGGGGTGGTAGCACCTGTTAGGGTCCAAGCTATGGACAAATAGTGAACCTCCAAACAAAAACAAATACATTTTTATATAAAAAATTACCAGCAATATCTATTTATAATAAAATTAACAATACATTTCATCTGTAGTTGAAGACATACACTTGTTTTCAAAATGTTTAGTTGAAGCCATAAAATTGTGTTCAAAATATTTTGATTTCAGCATTAAATAACCTATAGAGGTTGATATGCCGCTAACCAACCAACCAATCAACATGAACTCTTTCATGACATTAATATCATAATTTCTTAAAGAAATCAAACTGTATTCCAAAATATAACTTCAACAAAACAAACAAGATAAAAAACAACACACATCAATGCCTCCAGTAATTATGTCCACATAAACATATGCACAAAAGCTGAGTATCATCTACCATGTATTCAATTTTGAAAGCAGAATAACATTTTTATTATTTAAAAGCTTCTAATAAAATTAAATTATGGCATTAAATAACCCATAAGGAGTTGATTTGCCATTAAACAAATCAAATCATTTAAAAAAAAAACAACAAAAAAAGTGAGAAAGTAACAACGCTATACTTGGTTTTCCTGTTTAAAGTCTGCAAATAAGAATATCTATTTTTACATCTCCACGAGATTATTAAGCTAAAAAGAGGACACCTAGAAGACCAGGGATAATCAAAGATAATTATGTTCATAGCTTGGCAAGTCAGTGTGTTGCTTTAATTAGACAAGACAAGTAGCCAGTCTACAGGCCATAATGTAATCAGATGGCAGAGAAAACATGATTAGCAATCACATGGCCAGTCTAGGCTGAGGACACCTGATTGAAGTGAATGAACAAAGCTAATCAATTGGACACTTATTTTGAACTTGCAGGGAAATAACAAAGATACATAATACCTGTCTGTATATTCCCAATCTATACAAAAAAAAAAAAAAAAAAAAAAAAAAAAAAAAAAAAAAAAAGAGAGAAGACATTTAGAGAGGAAAAAAAAAAAATCAAAAAAACTTTTCTTTGAAATCTGTATTACCCCATGCAAGGGAGTAAAGCCACTAAGACACAATGGGTTACAGGTTTGAAAGAATTAGGAACAGAAACATTAATAATGAGCAGGAAGAGAAAAGAGTAATCAGGAGGACAGTAGATAGCGATTGACTGTAAATTTAAATTTTTGCAGATTAAAGTTGGCTGGAAAGCATGGAGTCAGATGTGAGTTTTACAAGTGAGAAATGCAAGAAAAACTGTTAGCATAGAATTTATGGTTACATCTAGTTAACTGTAAATTGATGAGATTTTGATACCAGTCTAGTAGTGTGCTTAAATTCAAAAAGTCTAGTTACCATATTGAAGAAACTTAGCTGTTTCTATTAGAATTGTGTACTTTTAACATGTGATTTTAATTCTAATTTTAATAACCCAAAAGCTATTATTTAGTTTCAGGTCATAGTTTATCTATTTGAAAATCTATTTACTTGAGAAAAATAAAGGTTTACAGTAAAAACAGTACACCAGTACTTCATTTCACAATAATATATTTTACATAGCATAAATTACATTTCTCTCACTTATTTTTCGTAACAATATTGTGTATTTGCAGAGTTGGTTTAAGTGGTAAAATCAAGAATTGAAGGTCAAGGTCTGACATTCAATCTCAAGTGCTAATCTGATTAAAGTAATAAGCACAATCAATTTCATGAAGTGTGTAAAGTACTAGACTGTGAAATGATTTTAAAGATTAATAGAATCAGATGGGTAATTTGCTTAATAGCTTGGAAATCTTTGATAAGTTTGTAATAGAAAAATATAATTCAGTAAATATTCCATAAACTGAAACTACAAGTTCTATGCTAACAGTTTCTTTTCATGCACTTTTCACTA